TGAATCATACAGAACAGTGATGAAAATTATTTTCTTGAACCACTTGAAATATAAAGCATTTATCTCTTTGGAATTTATGTCATGTAACTGTAAATGTAAAACTTACCAAAATCAGTGCTAGAGAACTACCAGCTATTTCAGCCTGATTTCAAACTCTGCTTTTGAGGTCCTATATACTAGAAAATTTACAATAAAAAAAGACAGTGTTTATCTTCCTGTTACACTCAGTGGTCCTTTATATTAAATGTTAGTTGTCCAAAAGTTTCTATTTGGTTCAGAGTACAACACAGAAAAAGTAAATACTGCCATGAAGCCATGGTTTAATTCACCTTTCTTATTAGAATTTGGCAACAGAATCCCATGAGGACTGAAGATAACACTTTCAGCAATCGACCTTGGGGAGATCTTGTAAGGGACACAGAAAAACAAAAGATCAGACCCTTAAAATGTAGTTTTCAGAGTCTTCAGTAAGAAAACTTAATGAAAATAAGGAAGTAGTTTTAACAATGTTTTCCAGGAAAGGGTAGCTTGGCAGGACTGCCCACACTTATCTATCAATAGTATGAGGAGGGAGAAATTCCTTTTGAATGAGTGTCATACCTAGAGCCACATAATACTTTGCAACTCCAACCTAAATTAACACCGATTTTTACTTTATATTTCCTTACTTTTTACACATTAACACCATGTCTGCAGCCTGGAAAAACTGTCTCTATTTGCCATAGTCCTGGTAATCACTTCTTTCCAGACTCTACCACTGAATGATCATTACTGGTGATGAAATACAATAAAGGAACTTGGGCTCACTTTCTATGCAGTGGCTGCATATTCCAGGTATGTCTTCTCTGCAGAGTCTATTACTTTCCAGAATTTTTCTCAAAATCCAACTCCTTAAATACTATAAGAGCTTGTCTCCTGCCCTGTCTTCCAGCAGAAAATACTTCTTAGGGTACCCATAAAATGTAGGGATAAAATGCATCAAAATCAAACAAGTCTTGATATTAAAAAGAAAGATGCAGACTTGAGTTGGTTACAGTGGGATTTTGTACTGCTTTAGTTATGTGTTTGGGGGTGTCTAGGGCATTTTTTGTTTTATTTCGGATGTTGATTAACACATACACAGATTTGATACAATATTTTCTCAGACATAACCAGCCTGTGTTGATTCAATCAAGAAGTATCCTAGGGCTACACAGGACAGAATTTTGATTCTTTTTCTATGAAAGTTCATACACAAGGCATTTAAACACCCCTGAGTCCACAGCAACCATATGTAATTGCACAGACACCATATACTGCAGTCACATGATATTTTACTATGACTCTTGCAAGTAGTTTGCATACAATTTATCTGCAGTACCAGCAATATCTAGTAAAAAAAAAAAAAAAAAAAAAGCAGCATCTATGTTTTTTCGTGTTTCTCAGTGAAGCAGAAAGTATATGCAAAGCGGATGAAGAAGGCTTATACTTATCTCAGTAACCCAACCAGAAATGGACATGCCTTTCAAGGATCAACCTTTCTTAACATTTTAAAGAGCAAGTCATGTTTTACAGTGTCCCACTGAGAACTTTTGAAAACAGTACACAACGTTTCAAACTACGAAAAGCTATTTCAAATTATTGTGTGTCTTATATTAAACAATTTATATAAATATTTACTGTGGTAGGAATGAAACATTTTCATGTGTCATATAGGCAGACTCTCTCTCTAACATACTCACACATACATATACAGATACCCACTAATACTTTTTTTTGTTTCTAATTCTTATCAGAGTATCACAAATTCACTCGATGTCCCCAAGCGTCAGATTTTAAGTTTACATGAGACAGCAAGCAGACAGAAAAACTCTCCCTTGGCCCCCTCTGAGGAGTGGGCCACTCTAGGAAGTACCAGCAGAGTTCATGAAATTTATTTTACTCAGCAAAATTAAGAATGGGTATCCCAAATTCAAGAGGAACACTGTTTATATGAGGAAATAAAATACACTATTTAGGGATGTTGATAACCTAGACACCCTTGCTGTACTGCTTATGCAAAATGCCACCAGTTTGCCTAGTGACAATAAATGGTCATATAGAAGGCTCCTCCATAGCTTAGAGGCACCACATGCTTTGAAAAAGCAGCATAACTGAATTTTAGGGGAAAAAAAGCACCACATACATGCTGGCACTGATTAAGCCCCATCTGTACCTGCAAGAGAATTACAGTGAAATAAGTGCCTGTCAAGTGTTCTCTCAGTCATCTCAATGCCCTTGAACAGACATCCTGTTTGATACATGAATTAAGATGACTCTGGAGTATTAGTTTCTCTTAAAATGTTTTCATTGGGAAATAGTTTTCTTTTTCTCAATTTAATAGCCTAACAATATTTGGTGGAAGAATGTTGTAATTTTATAGACAGTTTTGCTCCTGCTAAGGTTTTTAATAGTATAATAAAGGCTATGTAGCCCTGGCCAAAAAAGCAGTTTTTAAAGGCAAGAATATAGGTATGCACAAATGACCCAACAACTGATAATTACATGTATTTCTATTACCCAATACAATCTCTTGCACTGCGATACAATAAAGTGATCTCTGCAGAAGACATTAAAATGCGCAGTTGAAAGCACAGAGATATAGAAGCACTTACATTTGCACTGTGATCACTTCCACTAACACAGACGACATCTTGTTTTTGAATTGTCAATACCTCTTTTGTAAGCTTCAGTCGGATGTCATAAGCATTTTCAGATACTTCATCATACAACAATGCAATACCAGTTTTAGTCTGTGAAAAAGCAAGACACATACACAAAAATTTAAGAATGTGAACATTTCATAATGATGAGTAACAAGCTCTATCCCATTAAGGACATAAAAAGCATACAAATGAGCGTTATTTACAGAAAGTGGAAAACTGGTCTGCTTTTCAGTCTTCAAATGGATTACACATAAAAAAGCTTCTTTTGTACTTGAAAATAAAGGCTAAATGGTCTTTGAAGTAGACATTACTATGCAAAAAAGTAAAAAAACCCCTAAATTTACAAAAATTTCTCCACTGTACTGTTCCACAAAGGAGTGCTGCCATTTAATGATGTCCTATTTGGTTTTAATTGTACAAAGACTTATGAAACTGTATTAGAAGCACATAGGTATTTATAATTTGTACGTGAACTCATTTTACAGTTTCAGCTAGAAGTGGTAAAGTGCAGTGTTGATCCTAACTTCAAGATGTTCCTTCCACTGTGTCAGAAAATTAACTGTACTCTTCATAAGCATTGCCATTAAGGTACAGAGTTCTGTTAAAGTAGAAAACTGTTTTCACATTGTAAACCACATGATTAAGTACAGTTGCTAAATTATTTAAATCAAGATGGACTTACATTTCTTAAGTTCTTCTCTGGACTAATAATTAGTAAATTCTATAGGATAGTCAAGTATTTGGTATAAACAACATTTTCTCCATGAATAGCACAAAATAAAATCTATTTTAATTTCTGATTTATTCACTTACATTTCCCACTAATATTCAGTGCAAATTTCCCACTAATACTCAGTCAGATATTTCCTTAAACAGAAACTGTGGCATTAGGACTGCTTCCAGCTATTTGTTAAAATACGCAGCCTAATGAAACTTCAGAACTTTCCAGTCACTGCACAGAAGAGAAAAAGCAAAACACCTCTTCTGAAATGAGTGATCATATTTAAAAGTAGTATTTGTTTATTAATTTAAAATATATATAATGGCATCATCACAACAATGCACTTTATGCAAGTGAAAAAAAATCAAGCATAATTTAAGTTTTAGTTGCAGCACTTGTTTTTAAAAGATTTAAAATCAAGTTGTTCACTTACAGTTTGTTAAATAGCAGATTGCGAATAAAAGGAGAATAAAAGGAATAAAAGGAGAAACATGTCCGGTACACTGAATGAAAGCTTGAGGGATTTAAAAATAAAATTAAACATGAAACAGCTTCATATGAATACTTTTACTTATGCAAAATTAGGGAGAAAGGTGTGTTGATTGTCAAAAATACCTTTTTGTCTTTAAAAGGTTAAGCCTAAAGCACTTAGATTTGGTGTAGCTCTATGAAGCAACTGAGTGTCAAAAACTCCCTTATAGCAGAAACAGAAAAATGCTGCCTAGAGAGCAATTAAATTTATCCTGAATTATACACAAAGCAGTTGCTCAGGTGAATTGGTCATGTAGTTCAGCTTTCCCTGGGCTCAAAAAGCAGTTGTGCCCATGTAGGTCACTTTTGCCACTTTGATATCCTAAGACCTCCGAACACATAAAGCTGACACAGGCTTCTTAGGATATCCAGGTCCTTTCTAGCTGGAGGCAAGGCCAGATTTCCACGTTTACAATGTGATACAAATACTGGTCATGGTAGCAGACACTCATATGTAGGTATCTTCAGCTTGTAATGGATCTCACCAAAGTTTACAGTGCAAAAATCATAGACTGGCTTGGGTTGGAAGAGACCTTAAAGATCATCCACTTCCAACCCACCTGCCATGTGCAGGGATACCTTCAACTAGATCAGATTGCCTAAAGCCCGATCCAGCCTAGACTTGAACACTTCCAGGAATGGGGCATCCACACCCTCTCTGGGCAACCTGTTGCAGTGCATCACCACCCTCGCAGTAAAGAATTTATTGCTAATATCTAATCTAAACCTGCCCTCTTCCAGTTTAAGGCTATTCTGCCTTGTTCTATCACTACATAACCTTGTAAAAAATCCTCCTTTGGCTTTCCTGAAAGCCCCCTTTAGGTACTGGGAGGCTGCTATAAGGTCTTCCTGGAGTCTTTTCTTTCCCAGGTTGAAAATCTCCAATTCTCTCAGCTTGTGTTTGTGAGAGAAATCCACATCTAGGACAGCTGTTTAGATTTTGTCAAGCTAGTTGTGAGCAAGAGACAACTGTGAAGTGTTCTTCTACCCAATCTCTTTTATACATGTATCTAGAAGGGAACGAAGTGAATCACTGCTCTCTACTTTGACTTAAAAAATAAATATAAATAATAACTCGGATAAGTGTCTAAGTGTAGGCAGACAAATCGATGCCTTAGTGTTTGCTATGAATTCCTAATGGAAACAAAGTTCAGTGAGGGTATAAAGTCTTAATCATTCTCACTTGTTTGGAAGCCAGAATTTCTTTATTTTCCCAAGATTTTGAAATTTTGTACATTTTTGGCATGTGTGGGTGCTTTATCAATACATTTTTGTGAATGACAACATATGAAAGCCACGCCAATATCATCTACTTAAAAGCTATGCTGCCCAACAGCAAGTATTTTCAAAGAGTAGAGCTACAGCACCAAAAAACCACTGTCCCTGAATTTCGTGGCTGTCCAGAGATTGTGCGTCCCTATCCCACCTGGACTGGTGACCGCAGTTACTTTTGCTGATGTACCAGCACATGCTTTTTAGAAACACTGAAAGAACAGAGCTCTGGAGAGCTCTGTAACCCAGAATTCTTCTCCAGCTAGTAATGGTTACATATGTTTAGAAGAGAAACAATGAAAAAAACTCTGAACTTTCATTTGTAACAGATGATCAGGTAATGAATAAAATATGCAGAGTGACAGACTAAATAGTTTAGCATTTTTCATCACACTGTTTCAACTAGAAGTCTCACTGAAGCTCATCTATTCCTATAAAAATCCAATACCTACCTCATACTCTCTAACTTGTGATGTGATCCAAGATGATGTGCAGCAATACCTTATTTGTTTTCAGAATCAATAAGATTAATCTAGATTTCTCTCAGCCTTTCAAGTTTTTTTTTTGTTGTGTTTTTTTTTTTTTTATAGACCATTTTAAATGCCTTTGAATCAAAGTTCAGCACATTCCCTTGGTCTCTCCTTGTGTTAAAGAGATGGCATACATAACCCTAGTGGGAAAATCCCAGTCCAGACAAAGTGCTTCTTCAAACAAGAATCTTTTAATGAGAACTTAGCCTTTGCATGTATATGTATATCCAGCATTTTAACTATGCAACGTTCATCTTGATTTCTTATTTAAAAACTGTCTATACAGTAGACATTGTAGTAACTGGTATCAGAAACTGTGGACTGAAAAGTCAAAATAACACTCCAGAATTAGGTAGTATTGTTGTTAGAGATCGTATGCCAAATGTGTTTTGTACTAAAAACTATGAGGAAATTGCATCTCAATAGGATTTCAGTGCTTGCACTGAGAGGTAGGGGAAATATAAATTTAAATTCACTTGGGCAGATGAGGAAATTAAA